CTATCTATCTATCTATCCATCTATCTATCTATCTATCTATCTATCTATCTATCTATCTATATCTATCTATCTATCATCTACCTACCTACCTACCTACCTACCTACCTACCTAATTATCTACCTATCTACATCTGTCTGTCTCTCTGTCTGTCCGCCCGTCCATCCATCATCTATCTATCTATCTATCTATCTATCTATCTATCTATCTATATCTATCTATCTATCTATTTATCTATCTATCTATCTATCTATTTGTCTATCACTGTCAAATTTGAATACATAGTGGAAAGAGGAAACTTGAGAGTTCACAAGGTATTTTGCAATGATATGTATATTCTGTCATCTAACATTTCTGATTTCCTTTTCCCCCTCCCCACAAGCAGTTGATGAGCAGAAGAATGAGAATGACCAAGAGCCAAATCCGGTGCCATTGCAAATAATAAAAATTGAAATACCAGAAGAAACATCCGCAGATAGATGGGGAATGAGGAAACATGAAAAAACCCAAACTTGCAATGGCACTGAAATATTCACTTTTCAGCATGCAGACATGGATCACTTTCTGACACAATGCATTTTCAAGAAAAGCAACATGTGCAACACTCAAGGGAGTGAGGCAATGTTCAAAGGAAAATCCATGATTAGTAATGACTATGAAATTAAAAAGAGTGATAGCAATAATAGCAACATTATTCCCCATAAAATGATGCATATGAAGGCGAATTCCTATAAATGTGATGATGGGAGAAACAGTTCCAGTTTGATTAGTTCCCTTACTTGTCATAAAAAGACCCATAAGGGAGAAAAACCCTATAAATGCCTGGAGTGTGGAAAGAGCTTCAGCAGCAGCAGTTATCTGACCATCCATAAAAGGATTCATACAGGAGAAAAACCTTATAAATGCACAGACTGCGGGAAAAGCTTCAGTATGAAAAGTTCCCTTACTTCTCATAAAAGGATTCATACAGGAGAGAAACCTTATCAATGTGTGGAGTGTGGGAAAAGCTTCGGAAACAGAGATCATCTGACCTCTCATCAAAGGACCCATACAGGGGAAAAGCCTTATAAATGCACAGACTGTGGAAAGACGTTTAATTGGCATGGCCACCTGACTTCTCACAAAAGGATTCACACAGGAGAGAAACCATATAAATGCCTGCAGTGTGGGAAAAGCTTCAGTATGAACAGTTCTCTTACTTCTCATAAAAGGATCCACACTGGAGAGAAACCCTACCAATGCTTAGAGTGCGGAAAAAGCTTCAGTATGAACAGTTCTCTTACTTCTCATACAAGGGTTCATACTGGAGAAAAACCCTTTCAATGTCTGGAGTGTGGAAGAAGCTTTAGTATGAAAAGTTCCCTTACTTCTCATCAAAGAATTCACACAGGAGAAAAACCCTATAAATGTGTAGACTGTGGGAAAAACTTTAGTATGAAAAGTTCCCTTACTTCTCATCAAAGGGTCCATACAGGAGAGAAACCCTATCAGTGCTTAGAGTGTGGGAAGAGGTTCAGCCATAGCAGTCAGCTTACTTCCCATAAAAGGGTCCACACAGGAGAAAAACCCTTTATATGCACAGTGTGTGGAAAGAGTTTCAGCAACAGCAATCACCTGACCTCCCATAAAAGAATGCACACTGGGGAAAAACCCTATAAATGTACGGATTGTGGAAAAAGCTTCAGTATGAACAGTTCCCTTACCTCTCATAAAAGGATCCACTCAGGAGAGAAACCGTATAAGTGTGTTGAGTGCGGAAAAAGCTTCAGTATGAATAGTTCTCTTAGGTACCATAAAAGGATCCATATGGGAGAAAAACCCTATAAATGCACAGAATGTGGGAAGGGCTTCATCCGAAGCAGTGATCTTGCTTCCCACAAAAGGATCCATACAGGAGAAAAACCCTTTAAGTGTACTGTATGTGGAAAGAGCTTCAGTATAAACAGTTCTTTTAATTATCATAAAAGGCTCCATACAGGAGAAAAACCCTATCAGTGCCTGGAGTGTGGGAAGAGCTTCAGCAAGAGCAGTGTCCTTGCTTACCATAAAAGGATCCATTCAGAGGAAAAACCTTATAAATGCACGGACTGTGGTAAGACCTTCAATTGGTATGGCCACCTGACTTCTCATAGAAGGATTCACACAGGAGAGAAACCCTACAGATGCCTAGAATGTGGAAAGTGCTTTAGTCATCGTGATTCCCTTACTTCCCATAAGAGGATCCACACAGGAGAAAAACCATATAAATGTATGGAATGTGGGAAGAGTTTCAGTCACAACAGTCATCTGACTTGTCATAAAAGGATCCATTCAGGGTTGAAGCCCTATATATGCAATGAATGTGGAAAGAGTTTTGTTACGAGGGGTTCTCTTACTAAACACATTAGTATCCACACAGGGGAGAAACTGTATCATTGCACAGAGTGTGGTAAGTACTTCCGGTTGAAAAGTCATCTAAATTCCCATAAAAGAGTACATACACGAGAAAAACGGTAGAAATGTGTCGGAAGCGGAAAAGGGTTTTGTGAAAACAGGACTCCTCTTATGAAAAAAGCCAGAGGGGGGAATTCATGCATAATGTGTGGAAAAACCTTCATATGAGGAAATCAAGTTAATTCCCATAAAAGGACTTATTCAAGGATCTTGTGGAAGACACCTGAAGTAAATAGTCCTTTTTTATTTTGAGACTTGCCTGCCATAGGAGAAACTGAATAAAAATATGGATTTTGGAAAGAACTTCCAAGATAGATTTCTTATCTTTTATCCCTGCTCAAGCAGGAAACCCAATACCATTTCAGACAAAGGACTGTTCAATGTTTCCTTAAAAACATCCAATGATGGAGCACCCACAACTTCTGGAGGCAATTTGTCAGGAAATTTCTTGGTTCTAGGATGGTTTTCTCATTGATTAGTTTCCGTCCATTGCTTCTTGTCCTGACTTCAGGAGAATGGGTTGATCCTGCACTGGACTTCCAAGGTCTCTTCCAACCCTATAATTTTATGCTCTGTTCTTTGTGGCAGATAATGGAACACTGATATCACCTTAGTCCTTCATTTCAGACATATCTAATTCCTGCAACTGTTCTTCATATGTTTTAGCCATAGTCATCTTTGCTGCTCTTCTCTTCACTCTTTCCAGAGTCTCCCCATCTTTTTTATATCGTGGTGACCAAAACTGGATGCGATAATCCAAGTGTGGTCTTTATAATGTAAATTGATGCATTCATTGTGTCAAAANCGAGATCAAAGTGTGTGTGTGTGTGTGTGTGTGTGTGTGTGTGTGTGTGGTGGGTGGCCGGAAAGTAGGAGCCGGAATGGAGATGAGGTGGGGGAAAAGAGACACACACGCAGCACAGAGGACACTGGGAAAGCAGCTCACTCCGAGGGATGAGGTTGATGAGCAGAGCTACGGAAGCCAAGAGGTACCATTTCTGAGGCGTAAAACAAGGCAGGGAAAATAAAATAAAGGAACGTGGTATGTGCGTATGCTGAGATTCCCTATTAAGACTGTTACCCATGCTTCAGTGTACACATGCAGTTCTTTGGCCCCTCTCCTATGGCTCCCTGCTGACCCAATTACGCAATCTGCTCTCCACCCTGAGAAGGCACGAACCTCTCGCCTGCTTTTGCGATTCCACATCCTTCGCAGGTAACTCAGTGTCGGGAAGAGCTTCACCCCTTTTCTTGTGTTCATCTCTTGCGTGCGTGCACGCAAGAAAAATGCCCTCCTGGGCCAGGATCAAGGCGGAGGGGAAAACCTCCTGCTGTTGCCACTGCGCAATGAGGTGAGTAACTGGGTATGCAGTGCAGGGGAGCCACGCTGCGCAGGAGAATCCTCAGCGCCAGACTCAGGTCAGTGCGAGCTACGGTCCCCTTCGTGTTGGCTCAGGAAGGATGGGAATGGGGAGCAGCAACAGCAGCTGGTTGTGTGCAGGGAGGGAAGAGCTCCAGTTCTGTGCTGCACAGGGCTCTGGAACTCTTCCCTCTCTGCATCCAGAGACGGCTGCTGCGGCTCCTTCCTGAGAGCCAACATGAAGGGGACCATGGCTGGCGCTGACCTGAGTCCGGCGCTGAGGAGACTCCTGCGCAGCATGGATCTCCTGCGCAGCACAGCCAGCTACTCACTTCTCAGTGGCAGCAGTGGAAGGAGTCGCTGTCCCCACCGCCACGATCGAAGCCCAGGAGGGTATTTTGCTTGCATGCGCAAGAAAGAGATGAAAGAGAAAAGGGGAGAAAGAGGGAGAGAGAGAGAAACGAAAGAGAACTCAAAGTAGAGAATGGGAGAGAGGGAAAATATAGGGAAACAAATTAGAGGGAGAAAGAAATGAAAGAGCTGACCATGGAACTAAAAGAAAGAGAAGAATCGGACTTTTATAAAATATGGATTAGAATTTATAAGTGGCTAGAAAACAGAAGCCAATACAGGAAACAGAGAATGTAAATATAATTGTGATATGAACAATTAATATTACTATGAGTGTCAGTACTACTGTTATTATATTATTAGAAAAGGTAAAATTAATAGGAAGGCAATGCAGAATGGAGAACTATAAAGGCTAAACATGAATCCTGATACAGAAGGCTGTATAATTACTTTATATTGTTATGTATGTTTTGTATGACTCCAAACACAAATCCTTAAAGGCCAAAAATACCTTCCAAGTTGTAGAAAGAGGCAAAAGGCTGAAATTTTCTGGTTCCCCTTTGAGTCCTCTGGTATAAAGGAAGAAGGGAAAGTTGGCCAAAGCACTGTCAATGATGCATGTATTCTCCCCACACATCTAATTAGGACGTTCTGCTCAATTTCCATATATTTACAAGGAGTTGTAATGGTCTTCCCTTTCACCGCTTTATTGCTGTCTTTATAGGTGGATCCTGTATTGAGAAAGCTTTCCTCATGTTCCATGGATGTATGTTTGGTTTTGGTTTTATTGGTTTATTGGGATTTATATGCCGCCCTTTTCCCTGAGGGGACTCAGGGCGGCTTACAACCACAGGGGAGGGG